TCTTTGCAATTTGAGTGACTAGCAAATTTTCTCATTTTTTTTTGTGTGGCTGCTGCTTTTGAACTGATTTTTTTTGTATAAAATATAAATGGAATGCATTTTTTTTAATGTTTTTTTTTTGATAAATCTTGTTGATCTGTCTTGTCTTATTTTATATATATATATATATGTATATAAGCTACTTAAGTCTTTATCATATATTTTTTTTTTGCTGAGATCCTGTCTCAAGTGCTTGATTGCAATCACATACCTAACACAAATTGGATGGACTTGTGCTTAATTGTCTCTACGCGCTTTTTTCTTACCTTTCTTGGGCACCTTGGCCTCTGTCCACACATCTGCACAAGAGGAAAGAAACGAGTTCATTAATAATCGGGTTAGATAATAGTTACAGATCGCGTCTTACCTCCTAATTCGTCGATGACGACGGTTCCCTCAACTTTCTCAGCTGGCTGCTCATTCATAGCCTCAGCTATTTGCTCCACAACTGGTTCAACAATTGGTTTACTTTCTACTTTTTTCTCCTTCTTCACAACCTTCTCTTTCTTCTCAACCACTTCGATGACCTCATCAATTACTGGGGCTGGCTCTGGTTTTGTCTCAACCTGCTTCTTGATCTCCTTCTCCTTCACCTCCTTGTTAACCATTTCCTTGGTGTATTTTTCAATTTCCACTGATGATTTCTCAGCTGGCTTCTTCTTGTCCTTCTTGGCTGGGCTGCCATCCTGCTTCTTCTTCTTGTCAGCTTTGGTCATCACCTTCTCCCAGTTACCATCATCATAATCAACTGGTTTCTCGTGGACAACTTTTGACTTGCTCTTCTTGCTTTTAACTTCCACAACAGCTTCCTTGGATTTAACTTCATTCTTCTTGTTCTTCTCAGTCTCCTTCTTGATCTCTTGCTTCTTGACTTGAGGCTCAGCAGTTTCTTTAGCTGGGGACTTCTTCTGCTGTTTAGCTGGAGACTTTTCAGTCTTGTTTTGAACGGAATTCGCTATGTGGCCATTAGCCGTGGATTTCTGCAATTAGGAATGATGATGTTATGTGCATATTCATATATGTGTATATAGATTCTGCATGACGATGGGACGTGCTGAATGCGACAAATTGCGTGCGGGAAATATGAATATTTGGCGGGCAGCGGAATCGTGACCCTGTTTATTTGGGCTCAATTATAAAAATAATTATAAGATAGAAGTTATTTAAAGAATATAATGGAAGAACATATGGTGGGTACATACATATTCTTCATCTTGATTTCTATCTGTGCCAAAAGAGTCGATCTTAACTTTTTTTATATGTATATATATACACACTAAAAGAGAAAATATCACGAGGGCCTTAATATGTCTATGCAATTTGTTGCAAATATTTTTAATAAAAGTAAAAGGGATAAAAAAAAATTACGAACTATTTTAATGAAAAAGTTAATTATAACAATTGTAGGTTTAAAAGTCTTCCATATTGTTTGAAACAATTTAATGAATAAAAAAAACAAAACAAAAATATATATATGTATTAGTTATTTATTGAATGTATACAATTACTTTCTGAGATGCACTATAAATAATTGCTTGAACGCTTTACATCATTTCGATGAAGATACTTCAATCTATCATTCAAATGATTTGTAAGCTGAACGTTATTTCGATTTGCAAAATAATTAAACAAACAAAAAAAACAATGTTAGTTCATCTAAAAAAGTCTCAGATTGCGAAACGATCGATTTTTATAGTGCATTTTGTTTCATACCTATGTTATTATATTGTTTGTAGATTAACTATGTGTTATTAAATAAAAAAAAAAGCTCAACGATGTTAATTAAAGTGTAGTGAAATTATAATTATTACTCTTAAACATGCTTCTTATTGCCAGTTACTATTCTCTTTCATCTTTTTAATTATTACTAATATTATCACACAACTCCTAAACTTGATTTCATTGCACGAAGTGAATTGTAAATAATTAAACTATTTATTAGATCAATTATTTTTTTTCTAACGAAACTAATGTAGACGGAATATTTGAAGGCGGTATCATCATAATCATTTTGAATGTAATAATTGCTTTCTCTTTTCTTTCTCCTTCCTCTATTAACTAGTTTTCGGTGTTTGTTTTTATATATATATACATTCTGTAGTTGTATATACGTTTCTTATTAGTGCCTTGGTTAATATATTATATATAATTTGATATTCAGCAATCTAATTAAGACTTAGCAATGATTTATTATACGATTTTTATCAACTGTATTCTTTACACGTTTCGTTTCTTTAGCGATTATTGTTTTTTCTTTTATATATATACAATATGTGCGAATTGTACGTGTGGCATTTAATATATATATATATTAGTTTTTAATTGTAAATATCATTGTAAATGATTTATAAAGGTCAGTGGATTGTTTTTATCATTTGGGGACCATCTATGAAAATAAAATATATTTTAAAACATCGCTGATTTCATTCGATTCTCCAAACTAATCCCACAGCGCATCTAATCTCCTGCAATTATCCCAACATTAATCCGCACTTAAAACATGCTCAACGAAACAAAGAATTCTGAGTGGAATTAAATGTGTTTCGCAGGATTGAATAAATTTTGGTTATTTCTATTTTGTCAAAGTGAACATTAACAAATTGATCGCATTGACGATGAAACAAAATAATTCAGCTCTGTATTTGAGTTGGAGGTTGAGGCCGAATATTTCATAACTAAAATAGTTTTGGACGTGGCTGAACCGGAACACATTATCACGATGTGTCAGTTTGAACGCTAATTGAAGACCTTGAACTGATTGAGGTCGATCTGATGGTTCTAGAGAAAAAAGTTTTATGAATGCGGATCGATTGAGTCGTGAAGAGAAAGAAAGAAATCCCGTTCTTTGCTGAACTTCCTAATATCCAACTAAAAACTGTTATTTTAATTTATTTAATGTTTTTTTTGGATCATCTACAAAGTAAATGAATATATTAATTATTTCCATATAATTTACTCACATTTACATTTCATACAATAATTTTCTATTCCTTACGATTTTGTTAACTCAATTCTAATATTTTAACTACTCTAAAAGTTCATTTAACAATTACTAAGGAATATTTATGTTCCAAATGCACATAACTTATGTTTTTTCAAGCGTTAATTTCGAACCAGACGTTGTTAAATGGGTCAACAGAGTAACCACAAGAATTCTTTTTGGATCATATGTCTTTTTCGACAACAGTGACATCATCGTATTTAAAATAACGCGACGTCGTTTTTAAAATAGTTAAATGATCTATTTTTTTCTCTTCACGCTCGTAAATTTATATAGAATTTGTATTTGTCAGTTATCAAAATGTTCGTTCATGTTCAATTTGATTTTATTTATGACCATTCAAATATTTATGACACATGCCTAAAAATTATGAAAACCTTTACCAGAATATACGCATATATTTGCTTTAAATAAAAAATAAAGTATATTTAGGAACAGGTATTGTTATAATTTGCATTAAATAAAATCATCTCACACTCTGACATGTATTTATTTGATTAATCATTTTGGGCTTAATTCAACTGAAGATTAGATTAATAAATTTATATAAAACTTTTCCCTATTTCTACCCCCCTCGGGTTTAACAGCCAGCACAAATTTTGTTGGTTTTTGGGAATTGAACCAACGACCTTTCGTATCAGATTTTCCTGATACAGGCGACCATAGCCACAATTAAATTATTTAACTTCTTTATTTAACGTAATTGTCGTTTTTAAATTGTGTGTAATATACATAAAGCTTTATTAAAACATATGCAACCAACTACACTTGTATTTTTGGTGGATGCACCTGGTGCAGTTTAAAAACATTGACTACTTTATTCTTTGGATATTATTAATTATCTCGAAGAAGTTATCCAGCAACCAAAATAATAGTTTATTTAAAATTTATTTCTTTCTCGTCGGAGATTTGCTTTTACTCGATCGTTTCGTTTTCTTCTTTTTACTGGGCGATTGTTTTCTTCCCTTCTTCTTTATTTTCTTGGACATCGTTTTCTTCCTACCTCCGATTTCGATGGACATAGACTTTATAGGTGGCGATTTCACCGGTGGTTCTGGTACTCTGACGAAACTATCGTAACTATACAACTTACAAACGTCGCCTGCAAAAAAGATGTTTTTTTTAAATATAAATGTTACGATTTATTTGTGTTGAAATTTGGAATCGTACCCGTGCAGAAATCCTCTTGACAATCCGGACAGTTGACGACTCGCCATTCGATGACGCCACCTCGATTTTTCACCTTCCTAATATGCGGATCGGTGGAGTACACACTCTTCGACTTCGTTTCCGCTTTCAGTTCGAACTTTTTAAGCTCGATCATTCTACAAGATCAGGTGAATGAAATAAACTAAGAATGTGAACGGAATCGATATAATATATATTTGAGAAAGAAACCAAATAGATTTTTTTTAACAGAGTTTTAGAACAATTTAGAAACATAATAATAGTCCGATTAAAACATCAATCGTAAAATAACGATAATCTTAAAATTACCTTGAAAAGAAGTTCTCTTCATTCTTGCTTTTAGGTCGCTTGCTTGTTAACATTTTCCAATCGATTGGCACGACGGCCAACTCGCTGATCTTCAAGCTAAGCATTTCCACGGGGATCGGGTCGTGAAACTGGAAAGGCTTTCGCATTGTCTTGAAGTCTTTTCTGCCCGTTTTGAATTTCATGCGTTTGACATTATCACGGACTTTGGTATCGTCGTGCTTGAGCTTTTCCGGTTTGATCTTGAAATCCGGTACTTTGTCGAAGAGTTTCCGGAATTCCTCCTTGGTGTTTGCGATGGCCTTGGAGAGATCCAGTACCGGCCCCGACTCTTTTTTCTTATTTAAAAAATCGTCCATATTATCTAACAAAGATTACGTATAAAAGTTATGTGATAATGTATGGATAATAATTTATATGTAATTATATGAGAATAATAGGCCCAAATCGCGTATAAAAATATATATGTAATTTTCTTTTTTTGTTATGGATGCCTGCTAGGAGAGTACGACATGGAGTTTGATGGTGTATCGTCCCAATGCTCGTGTTTCAGCATTAAGCCGTGATGAATGAGGTTTAACTTTTCCAGGACATCGTTTCCTTCCTCTTGATGTGCGCCGTTAAAATCTGGTAGTTTGTTTCCATCTTCGATTAAATCGTTTTTGTACTGAAGACATTCCCTCGGCGAATTATGCTCGATCTTCAGGATGTCGACAACCTTAAGCTGATCCGTGTACTTTTCCCGTTCCCTCTTGCACCTGCAGCAGCACTGGTGCGTCTTCGTCTTAAAGTAGATGTGATCTTTATCAGATTCTATAGGCACGATCTCCGTTTGGTAAACGCGAACGTTCTCCGCGAAAACATGCTCGTTCTTCCTCCACAATGCTCGTGATTGCTTCTCCGCGTAACCCTTCTTCCTGTAAGTCCTCGGACTTCCGGTTTGACTATCATCGCTTGAATGCGGCGAATAATTGCGACATTTATCCTCGTATCCCTTCATTTGCCTCATCTTCTGCCGCATCTTCCTCCTCTGATAAAGCGGATCCTTTTCGCTCTGCTTCAAATATCGAGTCGGAGGTCTATTCACACCCCATTTGGGTCGATCTTCGACGTTCTCCCTGAACTCGCTCCTCGAACGCCTCTCCTTCCGGCACCTTCCTTCGTAGCTGATTTCCAAATTGGATAATTTCTCGCGCACGTACTTCTCCCTGTGGTCTTCCTGCTTAAACTCCGTGAAGTCCGTCTGCGTGCTGCTATCGCACATTCTCTTGTTGCGGTATTGCGTTGGAGTCAATATGCGATTTTCCGTTCTCGCTGTATTAATCGTGCCTCTGTCAGTCAAAGGAACAGCAACAGGAACCGCACCCGTGGCAGCAGGATTGATCGTTGGTATCAACACGGCGAATTGAACGGTGTGCAGCGATTCCAAGGGGTTTTGCAGCATTAAAGCTAGATTTTCCTGAGACAATTGTTGATTTAAATTAATCATCGAATTATTATTGTTGTTATTCTGTTGATTATTGTTAACTTTATCATTATTGACTGGTGGCATCTCGATATTCTGAGAAACCTTCTCCTTAGTATACTCAATATTGTTATCCTTATTATTATTACTAATTACAGATTTTTCGGCGTGTATCGAAGGCAATTCAATAATTTCACCTTTATCGACAGGACATTTATCTTTCTTTACCTCCACTTTCAACTTATCAACTTCCACCACGTTCTCCGCTATATTCAGATTCTGCTTCAACAGTTTCTGCTTAGCCTGTTTTGCCTCCTTTTCAGCAATCTCTATCGCCTCCTGCAACGCCTCCTTGCGCCTCCTCTCCCTTTCCAATTTCTCCTCTCGAATTCGATTCTCCTGCTCCTGCCTCTTTCGCTCCAAGTCCTGCTCTCGCGCGATCCTCGCCTCCTCCTCGTACTCTTCTCGTATCTTTCTCACTTTTTCCTCCTGTCTTTTCCTCTCACGCTCCTCCAGCTGTTGCTTTATGGCTTCTTGATGCGCCAAAGCGATTTGTCTCTTCCTTTCCCGTTCCGCCAATTCTGAAGGCTCCACCCGAATATTCTGACCACGTATATAACTTCTGCGAAAAAAGGGATATCGCATCAATAAAAGCGTATTGATCGGCTTACATGAATGTCTGATGTGGGAACGAAACTAAATAAACATATTGTGTGAAATATCTTATGACTAATGCAGAAATATCGATTCGCTTTGGAGACGGTGGAAGTAGGTTATCGCGATTTCTTAAAATCTAATTAGCGATAAAATATTCAGCGAACGACCAACTTTTATTTTTTTCTGCGATTTTCATCAAGGTCTTGCAGCCCTTCGTTAACCTTCGTCGAGTGCTGCACTCCTTACATTTCTTTAAATATGTACTCGCATGCTCCATTAAACTCACTTTTTATTATTATTTCTCCAACAACAATGCAACATAAAGAATAAAACATATTCATACCACATTATTATTATTACTGCATGAAACTTACTGAATACTGTTATATTGTATTGGTAATAATAATTGAATGGACAGAAAATATAATATAACATAAATTACACAAAAAAAAACAACAATTCTATATAAATTAATACATCTGAGTTATGACTGTCTTGATATTATAAAGGAAATGTTTTGAAAAGCTTTTGACTAGTTTCTTTCGATAATAAAATTCCGTCTACCCTGAGCTATAAACTTTTTCTTTTGAAACTTCTATCAATATATTAAAAGTTCAAGTAATTTGTTTAGTGGATTATTAAATCATGAAAATAATTACACTTTAATTAATTGACTGTTATATATTTTACTCATTGTTCTTTGAAATATTTGTATAGTAATTTCTTTGACAAATTACTCAATTAGTCATGTAGTTACGTTTCTATAATATTTAACTTGTTGAACTTTCTTTAAAAAAAAAACATGAAAATATGCAAGCTTTATTTTTTATACATGACTTTATTTCACCTAATATGTGATTTACTTTCGTTCCTAATTTAAGTGTGAAATGTGAAGAATCACTTTTATAGTCACCTAGTTTGCGAGCTGCTTGATCCAGTGCAAGGCCTTTCGAGATAGTCCTGCTCCGGTGATTCTGCTGGAGAATTATTGGAGACAACGAGTTCCGTGTCACCATCGAGTCCGCGCTTAACCCATCCCGGTGTATCGTTGCTCTTGAGGAAACTTTGCACCTCCTTCGGCTCCCAGAACTTTCCTACATGTACCCCTCTGTCTCTCCATTTAGGGCGGTCTTCTCTTCCGCTGGATGAAGACTCATAGCCAAGATGATGATTGTTCCAGTTAGTTGGTGGAAGATACTCCGGAGTCTGGTTCGGGTTGTCGCTGCCATAGCCTGACGTCTCGCCACCCATCTCTTTATCCAATTTTTCGTCTGACGTATAACTAACGTTCTGGTTCTTATAGAGCGGTGGAAGACTGGGCCGTCCCTGGGAACTTGCGAAGGAATCTCGGCGTACGTATTCGTTCTCCTTCTGATATTTCGAAGCATATTTCGATCTGACAAATACAAAATACAGAAAAAAAAACACACCGATAACGTAATAACACTTCAATAACATCGATTAACTAAACAAAGACAAACACGCTAAATCTAAATTGCCAGTGTTCTTCATCCTCTTCTTCATTATTAAATTTTATTTTATTCACTCGCAATCAGTGTTTGCAGGAGCGTTGAACCTTCAAGTTCAGCGCATCGCAATCGATTTCCACCAGGTGTATTGTTAAAACAAACTAAAATAAACTAATAAAATTTACCTCAAATAAGGTTTATCGTAGAGCTGAAGCGATTCCCGACTACCCCACGGAACATTTTCGCATAGCCCGGCCAATTCTTCTAAAAATATAAAATTTGTAATTGAAACGCACGATTATCGTCAACCCTTTTCAGGATAACTTTCGTAGAAAGATAATCACCTCTTTCGCGCGCCCACTGAAGCTTTTTGCGCTCGATTAAAGACTGTGCGGTTCTTTTGATATCATCGTACGTGGTGGACATTTGTTAATTTATTTGAACGTATATTATTAGATGATCATAATATTTTCAACATTTCAAAGAATAACTGAAACACACGCATTTTGGGCCTACGTTCGTTTTTTTGTCTTCTATATATTTAATTTTCGTATTCGTAGAGGAAAGCTCTGTGTGTACTCACCGACGATCGGATCAAAGTTGAATATACTTTACTTCATTATGCAACCAACGATACTTAAGGTGGGTGTTGTAAGTAGTTGTGCTTTGGGGAACTGGTAATTGGAAATGGGAAGCGCGCGACCGCAGCTAGCCGTGGAAGCTTTAATCTTGTATTTGATCAATGTGGTTCCCTAGGAAACATACATGCAAACATGTTAAGGTTAATGTCCCAAGGATCCTTCGTGCGGCGGATCCGAATTTTAAGCTCTGCAGAGGGGGAAAGTTGGAGCAACAACTGGCACGAATTAGCAAACACAGTCCATTCGACCTCAAAACACCACCAGACTAGATGACACACTAGATAATAATTGCCTTTTGTTAATTAATGCACTTGAATTGCGCACACAACGCAAACCTGCAACAACAAATTATTCAACACACAACAATTGTACTTATTATTTAAATAAACTTACGTTTTTATAAATTAAAGGAGAATTAAACAAACTATTATTGCTTCTGTCTTTCAAAACCTGTGCTTTCTTTAAAACTTCATTTTTTTGTATATTTTCATCAGATCATGAATGCTCGTGTCAAATTATTAATTTATTATTTATGTCTGAATATTTTGTTTACATTAACTGTTCCACTTTTTTTTAGATTAATTTACTTAATGTGTTAACATCTAACAATGTAACAAAACGTTAAAAATATATTCCTGCTTTGAAAATGCTATCAGTATCCAAAACTTGCTGGTAAAGTTTTGCAAAATGAAACCTTTCGTATTATTGATTAACAGAAACATTAATTTTCTGCAAACGTTTTAATCGAACCAACAAAGAACCGGCGAAATCCTCATCGGGTTAATATTCTTGACCCAGATTTCTCCCCGAATCACCACCACCACTGCCACCTTTTTTATAAGAAAAGGATTCGAATCGATAGAAGAAAAAGAAAATGCGCCTCTCTGCAATGCTTTTAACTTGATTATTTCGTGAAATTAAATAAAATGTAATCGAATAAATCGATCCTTCAAGTTAATACAATTTTTATATTTAAAACATAATTGATTAAAGCATATTGCAATTAATTAGAAACTTACCAAAATTAAGTAATTTATTGATAATAGTATAAGTTTCGATGATCAAAATGAAGATAAACTTCTTAATAGAGAAAAGCATATAATGGGATTACTTCTTGTGGGATTCAATAAGAGTAAAAGAAGTATTTAGAAGACTAATAGTTTGTTAAGCTCTTGTACTCTAATGGTATTGATGTATAAGTCTACAAAAGACACGTTATAAGTGTATGCTTAAGGTCATATATCAAAATGTCCCAAGAGCAAGTTTAATTATCAAAAAACTTCCACAAATGTTTCTCTCTGGAGTCTTCTAATTGCAGTTTGCTCGTCTTGTTTACACTCATTTTTCAAGAAACTGAAAGCTCTTAAGAGACTTTATTATTGAAATTGCAATGCCAACAATTAAAATACACAATCTCTTCATGGAATATAAATATATTTAAAGAAAATAATTTACTTTAAATATTTCTTTGCTTTTTTTTAATTTTTTATTAGTAATTTATAATATATATTCGTTTTCTTTTTCACTATGTTTATGTTATAATTGAAAGATGACCTATTTGCAATTAAATGCAGTTCAAATATGAATATAAGATTGTTTACTTTCCTTTTATTATATGAATAAACAATTGTTGCATAAATTTACTTCGGAATTGGTTTTGGAAAACCCGGGCTGTTTCTAATTCTATTCTTAGCGACGAAACGCGAATCAATGTCCAAACAAATTGGAGCATTATTTGCAATTCAGAATAACTGTAATTAGTGCACAATAAAACGCATCATTTTTAAGTGGAGAAATCTGTTCGAAATTAGATATTTATTTAAAAAAATATGTGTAAAAAATTGAAAATCTACTGCGTTTGGTACATTTAAAAATAATGTAAGTACTAGTAAAAGTATGTAAATAAGATTATAATGGGATGCATTAAGGTAAATGTAGGATGAGGCGAGAAGAGTGCAAGGTATAACTTTCTCCGCATCGGAGGAATTCCAACAAACGTGCGTCTGTAACTGTTCAGAGAAGAAGTTGATCCGAGTGTTAGATCCGATGAAGGAGAGAGAGAGAGAGGTCAGGAAACGGTATGACCATTTCGTTTTCGCGGAAAAGAAAATCAGAGTGCGCGAAGACACCGAACTGTCGCGACCTGCACCAAAAAAAAAAACAATCACATTCAAAAATTTCGGGGCGGTATTAATTTTTTTTTTCGAAAGGAAATTTAAATCATTTCGCCGCCTCTCCTCGAAGACCACTTTCTTCGCGTTTAATGGGTTTTCATTAAATTTTTCGTTATTTATTGCCGCTTTATAGGTCAAGTGGTCAGATTTACGATCGCTATCATGTATACTAAGTTTGAGTGTGTTAGTTCTTTAAAGTGAGTTTGAGAATGAGGAGGCCATGGTGCTTACTAATAATACTGTCCATCGGATTCGTCGGACACGAAACCAGGCACATCTTGCCGGAAGTTCCGGATGTGCTGCATCCTCCTGTACCGGATATACGTAAGTGTTTAAAATTGTTTGTTTTATTGCTATCAATGAGCAATTTCTACGTTCAATAGAGAGACTGCATTTCTCGATTTCTAGAAATAACGATTTCCACTTTTTTTTCTTTGCAGTTCTTGGTCAGGATAATGAGACCGTTGTTTTGGATGGTATGGACCCTGAGGTCAGTCCAGGTCTGTTCCAAGGCGATATGGCGATGACCAACGAGATTTACAACTATTGGAGGGTCGGATTGAAATGGGAAGTTTTTCCGGACAAACTCTGGAAGAACGGGGTCGTTCCGTACGCCATTAGCCCACTTTATGGTAATTCAGCCTACTTATTTTTACATGCAAATTTATTCGCTTGCCAATGAATTACCTGCTATTAACTACCATTTTTCGCAAAATATTCATGGACCTTCTTAAAAATGCATTACAACCATATCACTTCATAAATCATTACAAATTCACCTATATATTATTAATAAAAGGTATTTTTAACTCACAAAAATTGCAATTGAAAATAATTGAATGCAAAGAAATGCAATATTTTCCATAAATAAATGTAAATTAAACAAAACATAAAAATTATCTACGATTATTAAAAATCATTCCGTTTTTCAATAATAAATTAAAATTTCCATTTAATAATAATAATAAAAAAGAATCATCATATGCATACGGAAAGTAATTGAATATTGAGAAAGTAACGAAGTCGAGCTCCAATAATTTTCACTAGCTGCCGATGCGAATCGTTCGAATGCTTAATTTTCTGGGTCAAAAAGTGCGAAGAATTTTCCACCGTTCAATTTAAGTTTTTGTTCCGTGAATTGCACCAAACATCACTTTTCTTAGTCTAAGTAACATTATACATTTTTATTTGTTTCTGGAATTTACAAACAAAAAGTTTTGCAAAATTTCAATATTGATACTTTATACTTTCTCATTCCTTCAAACACGACGTTTATTTATTATTATACTGATTTATTCAATTTTTCCGTAAGTGCAACTGCAATAGTTTTCAAGATACAATGCAATTGTCTTATCATTATCTTCAACAGTGTTTCTCAAGCTTTTTGCCGCGTGTTCCGACATATTTGTTTGTAGTTGTGCTGCGACCCATAAAACTTGACACAAGATGACAGCTGTCATTTCGTGATCCATCACAAATTTTTACACGTCCCAATATTAAGAAAACATTTATATGCGACAGAGCAAAGCGTTCTAGAAATATATTAGTGCAAAACATTAAATTAATAATATTTGTTTTTTGAAGATAATAATAACGTTTACTGCAAAGAAAAGTAAACAAAATTAAAAACATTTTTATAATTCCAATTATGACTTAGTAAACATTAATTGAAATTAACACTTATTTTAAGTAGTTTTTATCATTAATGTAATTACTAAGGACTTTATGCAAGTTTTATTACCAGATAGTGGAGCACAGATTACGATATTTCATCGTTGTTATTGAAGAGATTATGTCAACAATACCAGCATAACATTGACAAAATGAATGAATGAGTAGGTCAAGGTAGAATGCACATATTATTTTATTTATTAATGATATAATTAAAGGCAATCATAATTTTTTTATTAAACACTTACAATATAAATATGATATGAATGTAGAAGACGACGGTGTTTCAGTAGACAAATATTAAATCTATTTTTTTTAGATCCAACTGATCATGTGACTATATACAAAGCAATAAGGACCTTAAATTTCATGACGTGCGTGAGATTCGTTCCGTGGAATGGAAAAGCGAAGGACTACCTCCTGATCTGGCCTATAAAATATCCGAAGGGTTGTTGGTCGTTTGTGGGAAAGTACGGAGGAACGCAGATAGTGAGTCTTCAGCCACCGGACGACAGCGGTCCCAACTGCTTGGGAACTGAAGGCAGAGCCATCCACGAATTGATGCACGCTTTGGGCGTCTTCCACGAGCAGTCTCGTTGGGACCGCGACAAATTCGTTAAAATTCACACCGACAACATCGTTCCAAGTGAGTTAACGGTCTAAAATTCCATGTATCATTTGTTTTTCTTTTCAATCCTCGCCTTTCTTTTCATTTCATTTCAATCCTCGTCCTTCTTTTCATTTATTTTCTTCGACGTCCGTGCTGCTGGAAAAGTTATGCGAAGCACGCAAATCAATTCAAACGAACAGCCGAAAAATAATTTCGACTCGTTCCGAATACCAAATGCGTTACTCTTCAAACGAAACGAGTTCAGCTCTGTTTATTTTTGTATGTCTTTCTTTGCTCCCTTGCAGGGTACAAATCCAACTTCGATAAGCAGAGCTTGGAGAACACCACGTACAGCTTTGAATACGATTACAATTCGATTATGCACTACGGGCGGTACTACTTCAGCAAAGCCAAAGGAAAACCTACGATAACATCGAAAATGGCCGGCGTCAAGCAGTTAGGACAGAGGAAGGCGATGTCCAAGGGTGACTGTCTCAAACTTAACGACCTCTACGGTTGTTTGGACAATCCCAAACTGAAAAAGAAGTATTACAATATATGCAATTTCCTAGGCGTTTAATAATTAGACTAAACAGTTCATATTTATTATTACCTATTTATTTTTTTGTTAAATAAACTGTTAACATTTTATTTTTCTTTATTTAATTTAATACTAGTTTTAGTAAAGTCTCTCTAAGAATTAATCATTTTACAACATTATGTATTGATTTTTTTATGTTGTGTTAAGACTTGTTACTTTATATCTCCTCATCATTCAATTATATTTTCACTAAACAAAGGTTGATATTATTAACGCAACTTACTTTCTTAACATACATCAAAATCCTGAGAAACGTTATTCGTTATGTAATTTTATCAATAATCAAATTCGCATTTAAAAATTCTAATTAATTATAAGATGTACATATTTGCGTTTATTAATTCCCATTTCTTACGTAAAAAAGGATTAGAATAAATTGACAACAATCGATTTGTCACCATATTCTAAAATACTATCAGCATTTATTGTTAATTTACCTCTGAAAGGCAACACTTTATCGTTTACTTTAATTAAAAAAGGAAATGATTTATCACGTAGAAATTATCGGTCATTTTATCTATTGTGTACACAGAAACAATAAACGTTACTATGTACAATAATTAATGTATTTAGCTCATTTTTATGACAAAATCGATTAATCCATTAATTCAATTAAAAACATTCTAATTTAAAGTCTTAAAACTAGTAACAAGTGTCTCCATGACTACCATCAGTGTTTATACATCTCCAATACTTACTTACTACTTGTCACGTATCAAGTTTTAAAACAATATTTCACAATTAGACAATAGTTTTTTTTAATTCGATATTTTAAAAATAATTAGATATTTCAATATCCTTAATAATTGTTTAATTAAACAAAGTGTGCATATACGAAAGACTAATTCGTTTACTATCTTTTCGAAACATCTCGTACATTTGAACAAGCTCTGCATTTGAATACTTACTGTGTATAAAAATGATATACAGAGACAATAATAAAATCAATAAAAGACCTTGACTGGTGTTGTCCATTATAAATAAATTAGTTTCGTGTACTTCAATAACACAAAGGTTATAAAGGGTCATGTTAGTGCATACGTGAATCGATGAATTATTATGGAAAACAACTACAAACATAAGGAAATAAATCATTAAAGCAACTTCAATCAGTTCGAATTCACTATAGTTCGGTTTGAAAAGTAAATTTTAATTGACAAAATAAAAATATATAATGATCGGTTTTTTCTTTTTTTTGTGAGGTTTAAAGTCCTCGATTAGTCCGGTTACAAACAGTCCAAGTTATTCGTGAAATCAATTACTCCCACTATGAAATGTATTGCTGTACTTACTATATTACAATTTATATTAATTAACAATTCATTCACAGATCTAATTGCATTTATATAAACTAATTATAATTAAACAACGTGTGTCAAGGATATATACTAGAATGAGTGAAAATGGAATAATACTCTAATAAATAATTGGGTAGTATTACAATTTTCAATGAGAAGAAGAGGGTTTAACTAAATTAAATTATTCTTCTGTTACGTCTTTTTCTGTTAAATATTTAGTTACTAAACTCTCTCTTAGAATATTCCTAGGAACGTAATCAGGAGCAACAGGCCACGATATATCTAAAAAAAAATTACATTAAATATATAGTATAATAAACTATGCAATGAATCTGAAAATTCAATCACCAACTTCAATTATAAACCTACCAATAAAATCTTCAAACTCAGGTACATTTCCATAGCTACGATGATAATCCTCTATATCAAACAGTTTCCGATCATCCAATAGCACATCAATCAATTTATCATCAACCAACAATTCCAAATCAACATTGTCATCAATATCAATCTAAAAATGAAAGAAACTAAAATAAACACACTGACGTACTTTCGTTTATAATTCCCTTACAATTGTACGACCTCCGTCCACCAAATTCAAGGTATCCAATTTACCGCCCAATCGACGCGCAGCTTTAATAATTTTTATTATGCTTTCATCATCAGAGCTTTTGAAGTCAGTTTGCATGCGATCAGCCGAATTCCAAGGATTCGGAGTGACACTAACCCAGTTCTTCAGCAACCTCTACCACAAAAAAAAAATCCAATCAATATTTTTCGTTCGATGTGAAACATCATTATTACTTCTTTAATGTTATGTTGAACAACCAATAATTTTACTCGTCCGAAACAAATGCTTCCTGCATCCCTCAGCAGATTTAAATGTTCGATAAGTTCGGATTCGGAACCCTTGAAAATCAGTATAAGATTCGGTTTTTTTCAATTTAAATACTATTTATTACCTCGACAACGTTTAGAAAATATTTACTGAAGCTCAAGACGAAGCCAGTTAATCGTTCTTCGCAATGGCCGGAGTTGATTCCAGCGATGATATCCTTTAAATATAGACGGATATTTGTGCTTGCGTTTATCTCAATTTGGCATTCACCTATGTAAAATATTCGGTGAATGAAGAATTTCTGCAATTTATACACGTAAATTAACTTCGCATATTTTGACTTCTTTGATAAACATTGTGTCTCAATTTTATCAACAAATAACAGTTTAGATAAACCTATGACGTTAATTGAAATAGCGAACGGTGCTAATTAACTGATGATCAAATTTGTATTATGAATTGCATGGTTTTGCAATTAAGTGATCAAAGTACAATTTATATTACGCACAAAAACAAACTAATTACATCAACAAATTGCGTATCTACAATTAATTTCCATTAATTTATATCTAATCTCAAATATATGATAAATATTCAAGCCAAATTTGTTAATGGTACTTACTCGATTTAATAATTTCATGCGATTGCACAAAATATCATACAAACTTTTCGGGCGTTTCTCTTGAAGTACGAGATTTGTTGCTTGACGCTTTCTGCATTTGTTATACATTTTAAAAGAACAATGCTGGATTTCTCGAAATTCTGAATAAAATATTGATCAAACTATATAATCAATATTCATTAACAATGTTGTTATTCAAATTTGAAACGCGATGTAATCAAAATATTAAATGCAGTAGACTATCGTATGAAATTAATAATTTTCCTCGTATAACACGGTAATATGAATAACAATTTTGTATGACTATTGTCATATTCAATTTTAATCGCGTTATATAAAAATCGTCCCATTTTTAACGCGTACTACTGTATTTATCAAATTAGTGATGTGAATAATTGTGTTGCAAGTATATTGGGGGAACAATTTTGTTAAAACTACTCTACCAAAGAACATTACAAACCAGAATCACAATTCAAATTTTATTTTAATTCATATAAAATGAAAGTTAATGCTACATATTGCATTGAATTCATTATAATACCCACGTTAATATATCATGATTACATCATTCAAATATCATATATTCGAGTACCCTTTCTTTTTTTATACAAACACACTACCAATATATGCGGTATATACACAGAAATACGTTCAAGTGATGTTCACAAAAAACATACATTACATAAACAGTACGAAAAGAAAGAGAAAAAAAAAAGATAAATAAATGAAGTTAGAAAATGTTTATTAACATAATCATAATAGATGTTACATGTTAAATAAAATAAAACTTTTCTTACAAGGAGGAATTAAAGTAAAAAAATACTACGCTAATCACAGGCATACATATATAAATAGTAACACAAAACATAATTGTACTATGTAATTTAAAAACCCTGCCAAGAATTTAAATCACAAAAAAGAAAATCTTATAACATAGAATCCTTTGTTTTAAATGTCGTTTAAAAATAGAAAATCTCGAGAAATATTGAAGAAATAAGTTATTTATTGGAATCTACATAAATCTCATCTAAGGATTTCTTTTGTTTAAATTTATCCACTAAAGATGGTGGAATGCTTAAATGTTCAGTATATGTATTTCTTAGTAGGCTGCAAAAGAAAAGAGAAAGACAAATATTAATATCATGTTCTGTTATGATGCTTGTGTTGTTTTCAAATGTATTAATACTTACAGCCATTGCCCATATTCGATTTGTTATCATCAAATCTGTGGTGCATGCGCGGCCTGTTGTTTTCGCCACCCCTGTGATTATTGTATCCTCCCCATCTGCCTCCTCCTTTACCGTATCCGCCACGGTAACCACCGCCGCCACCACCTCCACGGCATGCCATCTCAGACAGTTTGGGGTTGATTACCTAAAGAAAATTATACAAATTAAATATAAAAATGGACTTTGCAAGAGAATTTTCGATTAAAAAAAAGTGAATTTCAATGTAGGGAAGTTAGAGGATGGACTCCAGACAAATACGTGTGGAATCCGAAGGTTGTCTTCCCGCTAATAATATCCCTCACAACAGCACTCATGAACCACTGAGATACTAAGTGAATACATGCCAAATTGCGAGGGTACAAAGTACAAATGTTTAAAAAATAAATATATATGCAACTAACCTGATTTGCTTCTTTTAATACTGATACAAGATCTTTAGCCTGTCTGAAGTTGTTTGGTGTGAAGAAGGCATAAGATGTTCCGGTAGTATCAGATCTGCCAGTACGTCCAATACGATGAATATAATCTTCTGACGAGTTTGGATAATCAAAGTTTATCACGTACTTAATACCTTCCACATCTAATAAAAATCATAATGTTATTGGACAAATAATAAAATGGCGAGAAGTACTGAAAATTGGTTATTGAATTTGAAGTTAAGAATTTAAAAAAAAAATGTTAAATGAAAAACTTTGTAAATTATTCTAATGAAAAATAAAAGTGATCAGAAAATGTAATCTCGGAAAAATAAATAATAAATAAAGTAAAATTATCTAAATACTAACCAGTGCGCTCGAGAACATTAAGAATCCACAAGACGCTAGGCTATGTACGATTTACAGCTATAGTAGCAAATAAACTGGCTGCAGCAGATCCCAATATTAAGTTGTCGAAATTGGTCAATCCACTGCAGGACCGAACGGAAGACAATAATACTTTGTGAATGACATCTGTTTGAATAATCTTCTACTTGGATCATGGGAGTTTACAGTTTGTAAAGGTGTAGTTTTGGTAAACAGTAAGTGTGATCCTTAGTTGTATATTGTTATTTTTTTTTTTGTATTATTACTGAATTTACATTCAGCGGAATGGAAAGGAGAGATTATTAATCAGATAACAAACATGTGCCATCATACAAGTGTTGCATCATCAGATCTTCCTGAATCGGTCATCTACCTCATTAGCTGATCTACACCTCAGCAGGGTAGCCAGCCAGAGGCACCGCAAGACTCAGAATTGCGTCCTTTATAGGAGAACGCAAAAAAGGCGTATTCATTAGCACTCACTGGCTAAAAACTACGCTCATCCTGCATGTGCCTCTAAAACAAAAAAGGACAACCAGACTGATTAATATGTCTTAGCTTTACTTAAAGTAACTTAAAGCTATTGAGTTATAACCATTAGTACAACTTGTGGGACAATTAAAGAGTACATGAACACACATACATTGGCATCTTAATACAGAAGTTCCCAAATTATTAACACCAGTTTTTTTTTTGAGTGGATGTTAAAATTACACAACTCCTTGGATTATTCATCCAATGTGTGATCATGACACTTAGAAGTACTAAATTCGTCTCTAAACAATAAAATAAAACAAACCAGTCTGGAACATCCCCATATGCTACTATGCCAAAATAAAATAAAATTATTTATTGAAAATAAAACTTAAAGAAACCCGTTTGTTAAAATTTAAAGATTAAAATAAAAATTTTTTTTTTCCTTGTGTAAATTTTGAATGTTTTAAAATAGTGTAAGAAAATGTAAAGTAACTTACCAAGCCCACGAGCTGCTACATCAGTAGCAACCAAAATGCTAGTCTTTCCGTTACGGAATTCGCGCAACACATAATCGCGCTCCTGTTGGCTCTTGTCACCATGCATGCACACTGCTGGCCATCCATTCCTGCGAATATTCCTTGTAATTTGTTCTACTTTCCTTTTGGTTTCAACAAAAATAATGGTTTTCGCTCCAGGTTCACCATTATTTCCAATTTCTTCCAATAATGTGTTTAATCTATAATAAAAACAAGTTATTAGATAATGTGCTTACATAAATAATATTAATAAGCTTTTAAATAATATTGAATCAGTTCTTCTTAAGGGTTATAATAAGCATCAACATGGAATGTCTGAATATTTTTGTTCATCATATAAATTTGATAATTAATTTCAATGATATAATAAAATAAAAGAGTACTTACTTGACTTCCTTCTCATATTCCTGGCAAACATCAACAATTTGTAAAATGTTGTGATTAGCAGATAATTGCAGGGAGCCAATATTAATTTGCACATAATTATTCAGAAAATCTGAAGCCAATTTCCTAACTTCTTTGGGCCAGGTTGCAGACCACATAAGGGTTTGCCTGTCTGGCCTGATTTGCTCAATAATAGTACGAATTTGTGGTTCAAAACCCATGTCCAACATACGATCAGCTTCATCCAATACAAGATATGTGCACCTCGACAGATTTGTGGTTCCCCTTTCCAAGAAATCAATAAGCCTTCCGGGTGTGGCAATGACAATTTCGACGCCATTTTCCAGATCACGTGCCTGGGGTCCTTTGGGAGCACCACCGAAAATGCACGTGTTCTTCACATACGAATTTTTGCCAAAATCTGTCGCCACTTGCTGAATCTGTTGTGCAAGTTCACGTGTTGGTGCCAGTACAAGGGCAATAGGTCCATCACCACGGCTAATGGGTTGCTGGTTATTGATATGTACAATAGCTGGCAGAATGTAAGCCAATGTTTTTCCAGATCCTGTTTGTGCAATTCCAACCATGTTCTTCCCACTCATAGCAATAGGCCAGCCTTGTGCTTGAATAGCTGTTGGTGTATCATAACCCTGCTTTTTAATACTGGCCATCACATAATCTGGGAAACTTGCTTCCTCGAAATACTGGATAGGGTCAGGAATTTCCTCTCCTTCGACAGTAATTTGCTTGGAAATACGGTATTGTTCTACCTCGTAGCGAGAGCGGTTGGAGACGTCATGGTGTGGTACATAGAAATCTTTCTTGAACGGCCTCAATTTGTTCATCTCCCATGAAGGTTTCCTCAGTCCACCTCCAGGTTGATCCCAACCTCCGGAGCGGTTGTTGCCCCCGGAACGGTTGTGTCCGCCGCCGCCTCCACGGAAACGTCCACCACCACCACCGCCTCCGCCGCCGCCACCACCATTTCTGTATGATCCACCTCCTGATCGGCCCTTGAAGGAACCACCTCCGCCGCCGCCGCCACCACCTCCACCGCCGCCGTTTTTACCGTAAGACCTATGAACAAATAAAAAACATGTTTAATTATAAATAACTAATTACTTAAACGAAATATCGTAACTCGAAACTGCACTGCATAGCGAAAGTCAAATGGCGTCACAACGAATGTATTGATTAAATGTTAGCCGCAAACAAAATGGCTTCCCGCATCGAAACGAGAAAAAAAACATTAATTATGAATCACCTTCGTTTCTCGCCATTCGACAGAAAAAATATTATAGCGAAATCACTCATATAAAATAAGAAATAATACTTACATATTAGAAGTTAACGGATGATCCTTATAGTTGTTAAATAAATTAGATACTGTTTTCTGCTTGTTGATGGCTTTGTGGATATTCTGGAAACAGGAATAAACTTTTATCTTTCTGTCCGCACGTTATCCCACTGCTGTTTATCAATTGTTAATGACACTATTTTTTTGCGATTACTAACGTTCTGAACTTGACCAATTTTCTTTTTGCAATATTACAAAACGAAGACGAACTTACCACTTCGAAAGCCAACGGAGGAGAGAGAGAATTTGGGAAGAACGACTGCGTATTATCTCTACGCAGCCGGAAATCGTAGCACGTAGCATGCGCAGTAGACTCCATTTTAGGCGCCAAATTTGAACGTAACGCCGTTTCACTTTCACGTTCAAACTTTGTACCTCTATTCACCTTCAAATCAAGAATAATTGTTTATTTATATATTTTGTCATTCACTTATTTTAACTAAACAAAAAAAAGCTCTCTTGATAATTTATGATACCAGTTTTTTCTTTCCATCTACGTATATTCAAAATATATTTATTAAAAATATACAAATTTTAGTATGATTCTCTTGTACTTGGAAAAATCAATACTTGGAGTCTAAGAGAGTAAGAATTCGTTACAATTAAATTGATTTAAATAAGTCAGAATGTTGCATTTTTTCTTTAAACTTACAAAAAAACATATAAGAAATTATGAATTTTACCTTACTTATATAATGAAAGATCAGTTCTGTGGAAACAATTTGTTTGTTTTATCGATTTTACTGATATACACTGAATGATACTATAAAAATATATAATGATTCAATTCAATTTTAAGACAAACTGTTGCTTTTAATACAAATTACAATGTTTCATGTAATTGTTTATTTATTGATTGTATGTTAATGCCAAGTAGTATCTATTAATAAGTTATTGCTTTGGAATACGCCAGCAAACTTTGATAAAGTGCGCTGCTATAATCAAAATAAAAGTTATATCATTTATATTAATGTCAGTGTTTTATTTACGATTTTTATTTTAAGTCGAATTTATGTAATCTACCTTGTTCTACAGTTAAATTGCATTGCAATGAATTGATTTACCCTTGATGCGGTTTCTTTAAAACATGCCACCAGATAAGACTTAAGTTTAAAAAGGTATGTACGAGAAATCAAATTTTAAAGTAAAATAACGTAGTAATTTGCCGATATAACCTAAGAAATTGCAACTGACGTTATTCAAATTATATTTACTCGCATTATGTAATTCCACATGTTTCATCAGTAGAATGCAGCATGTGAATAATATCAATATCATGTATATAAATGTAATTAGTTGAAAGTACAAATAAACAATAAAAAGAAAGCATTTTACAGTAAAACATTTTAATTTAAATTGCAAACAAATACAATATGTAACAATATCTAAAATTATTTCAGAAGCGATGGAAGGAAAGTTTGAAAATCTATCTCCATCTGAGGTTGCTTTAGCAGGGGCCTCTTCAGGTTTATTCTCAAGAGCTCTAATTCAGCCTTTCGATGTACTAAAAATTCGGTTCCAGTTACAAATGGAACCAATTTCAAAGCACTCGATGTCAAAGTACAGTTCTTTGATGCAAGCAACGAAGATGATCTACAAAGAGGAAGGGCTTTCAGCGTTTTGGAAGGGACATGTCCCTGCACAATTCCTGAGCATCGTCTTTGGACTGACACAGTTTTGGTGCTATGAGATGTTGGTATTTAAATTTAAGAACACCACAATTGGTCAACATCATGCAATGACTAATTTTATATGCGGTTCTGTGGCAGGTAATTATTGCACTAGTTAGTCCAAAACAATTGTAGATGTGCTTTTCTTTGATTTTGATGTTGTGCTTGTTGTTGCTTTGCTTTTATCATCAATTAACTTCTTGAGCGACTCGTTTCGCCTCACCAACAGCTTCACATCTTCGTTGTTTATCGTTGTTCTTTTTGCATGTTTGCTGAATGCTTCCAGATCTTGTCCATACAGACATAACTTTTTCCAAACCAATTCTCCGATAAGCTCAACGCAGTCCGGCTCGTATTTAACATTGAGAATTGGTTCTAATTCATTGCAAATTTCTAAAACCGTTGCGTGAATCGCCGGTCGCAGCTTTTTCTCCCCAGACATCACAAAGAAAATATTTTTATGAACGTAATATTTTTTAAGGTTAATGTCTGATTACATTTGTATGCAGCCAACATTACATAACTTGAAAACTATTAGTTATATTCGAAGTAATAATTATTTTATTCCTGAAATTATTACGTATTGTTTTTTTTTTGTAGGAACAGCAGCGACTTTTACATCATTTCCCTTTGATGTGATGAGAACTCGTCTGATAGCTCAAAGCGAGGACAATAAAGTTTACAAGGGTTTGTTGAACGGATACATACACATATTCAAGCACGAGGGCATAGCTGGGTATTACAGGGGGATAACGCCGACGATATTGGCGGTAGCACCGAACGCCGGATGCCAATTCATGTTCTACAAATTCTTTGATGGTGTATATAAGAAGATCGTGATTGTGGAAAAGGATAGTTACAATGTGACTGGAAGTATGTTTGCTGGCAGCTTGGCAGGTTTGGCCAGTAAAACGTTGCTGTACCCCCTGGACATCACGAGGAAGCGAATGCAGTTGCAGGGATTCCAGAAATATCGGAAAAAATTCGGGGAGAATTTTATTTGTTACAATATGAGAGACTGCCTGACGAGGATTTACGTGTACGAGGGGTTGCCGGGGTTGTTTAAAGGGATGTCTCCTAGCATAATCAAGGCATTAGTTGCCAGTGCTCTAAACTTTACTACCTTCGAAATGGTTTGCACTAGTCTAAACAATTTACATAAAGTGAAATATGAATGATTATTTATATTTAAATAAACGTTGTTTTTAGTTGTTTTCTATTATTATTATTACTATTTTTATAAATAAGTTTTGTTTCGATGATTTTACTGGTTTATAACATAAATGGACGTCAGCCACGTGGTCTTCAGCTGTGTTAATATCTACGATGTTAAAAAAATATTCGATTCGTTCTTCTAATCACCAATCTAAATACTACCCAATTATACATTGCTTAACTTTATTAAATTGTGATAGACTTTGAGAAGACTTTATGTTCATTTTTACCTAATAAAGTTAAATTTTGTTGTGACTATAAGAAATTTAGTAGCTTAAACCACATGGTTATAAAAATACTAAAAATGAACTTCGACACTTTTGCTAAAGAAGTAGCAAGATCAAAACATCAAAAATTACTTGTATTCCTGCAGCAATAAAATATCAATTAAAAGCATCTTTTTTTGATGGAAAGACTGCTTTGTATATATATATTTGTTTTATTTATGTATATAATAAAGGTTAATTTACTTAGATCTTTCATCTTGAAATACTTTGCATCAGGATGATTTATTACTATAGCAGTTGGAAATTTAAATTAATTGAAGTCAATCAGTACCATAACCATAGGGCTAAATGGTCTATAGCTCCATAGCGACAGTTTTGTTTCCCGTGTATTTTCTTATGAAGAGGGGCGCATTATTCTTAGTAGGTGCCAAATTTCTTAGGACTATAACTCTTTTTGAGCACACGGCAAGTTTAAGTGAGAAATGTGTTGATTTAAAGAAGTCCAGAAGCAACTACAAATTGAAACTAATAACATATAAATAAATATGAACGAATTGTGAAATTGCGAAAAGCAAAATATTATCTTTATTAATAAGCAGATTATCGGATAACTGACAGGAAGCGATATCGAATATTGGATTCCCATAGAAAAAGGATGCCCAGAAGCATCACTTTGTTTATTTATTATGTTATATGTTAGTAATTCAACACCGACGAGGTTGACTTGAGGCTTAAGCATTTCCACGCCTATTGGTTATGGTGTGTTAAGTAATCCGATACTTCAGCACCTTTCCGCCGGCATAGAAAAAAAAATATAGAAGCACGACGAATATGTTGGCATGCTTGTAATTACCAGTGAAGAGAGAAGGAGCTCATGTTAGAAGGAATGGATGATCAAGAAAAAGAAAATAATACAAGATAAAAGTATCCTAGTTAATAATTTAATTGAGATTTAAGTGTAGTATAAAACTATATGTTTGTTTGTTTCTTGGCAATAAATAAAAAATGGTATAGAGTCTACTGTATATATAGATAGATTGATGGTTATTAATAATAGTAGGTGGAGTCTTTTCCTCGAAGCTGATGTTGGTGTGGAATTTCGGACCACGCCTGTTCGGAATTGCAGGTGTCCGTCGATGAATCGGGCTTTTGGAAACTAAATGGCCATGTCTGAAACAATTCAAGGAAACCATTAAGATTTATATGGATAATCTGATTTGTGATTTGTCTTCTTCATTTTCAATTTGTCCGGTCGGTACGTTCTTGTCTAACCTACAGGCGTATTAATAGCCCCTAAAATAAGGTCATATAAAATTCACTTGTTTTAAGTGGTATTTACTCAAGTTAAATAAACACGGGTGTCATGTAGAAAGAATAATTAAACGGCGAGCGCCAAATGCCACCAGCTGTTTCCTATTCGGATGCGTTTATTTTTCATAGTGGAACTTTCGATGCTTAAATTAGATTAATATTGTATACTTGAACTTTGAAAGTCAGGAAGAGAGCGGTAAACGAGCAAAAGGAAAAAAACCGACGTGAAGATGCATTTTGTTTTAGATTGCTTTGTTTATCTCAATTCTCTGTCTTTTATGGGTATTTTCAGACCATCTTCATATAAATAGTACTGTTGTATGTAAGCCTCAATTTATTTTTCTGCATCATCTTAATTTTATTTCACATTTCTTTAATATTGTTACAAATCACAAGTAAAAATTTATTGTATGAGTTACTTTACTTGAATGAATATAAATTTAATTTTGTTAAAATATTGCAAAAATCCATAATTTTATATATTCTTACAAGACAATATTTTCAAAATAAAAATAAACATTAATTAAAAATAGACAGAAAGCCTTTACTGGCTCAAATTATTGATTTTTTAAAAATATTTTCGTACATTTTTATTAAGATATAAAAGTGTTAAAAATTTTACTATTATTTTTTTTATTTGTAATAATCATATAGATCAGCGTTTCTCAACCATTTTGGCGCTCGACCCAACATATTTGTTTGTATTTGTATAGCGACCCAATTGACTAAGAGTATTTCACCAGTTCCTTATATTGACACATTGTGACAGCTGTCATTTCGCGAGTTGAACATTTTATGAACAGAATATGAAACTACATTCTACAATAAATCAAATTATAAAACAATTCTTCCTTAAATATTATACTTAATAGTAAAATTTGCAAATTTATACTTAATTTAAAAAGCTAAAATGAAAGTATAATTTATAATTCGGTGTTTGCACCAATGTTTCAAATTTGTAATAAATAATATTATTAAAAAAAACATGCTTAAATATTATGACATAATTTCGACATTAGACTAAAGAAAATATTTTCTTGCTTCCGATGTTGAATTTTTATGATTCAATGTTGACTTTGTGTCCAAATTTAAACTCAAAATATTATTTTTGCTTCATTTCTAAATATAATTTCTTGGATATAACTTTGATTTATATATTAACTTTTTAAATGTATTCATATTTTGAGTGAATTTCAGGAAATTGGATCTCTAATTATTTATAAATTGGTTTGTTGGAATTTTTTGGTCAAAAAGACAAATTGATTTTTAATTATTATTTTTTTGCCATAAATATATAATTGGTTCATGTACACATTAACTGCATTTTATACTTTAACCAGAAAGTGAAACTCGTTCAACAATGACGCAAATATTGTACTTGGTCGGACTTGGCGGTGAGAAACAAATAAATGATGTCAGGATGAAATAAAGTGTGTTTGCTTACCAGTGTTAATGGGTGTTTGTGTCCGTTTTCTATGGGCACAGTTTGATCAGTCAATACAGCTTCGAGGTGTGCTATGTAGCTGGTCGCTAATCGCAGCGTGTCCAGTTTCGATAACTTCGTGTCCGCCGGAACCCACGGCAATGTTGTTTTCAGACGGCAGAAAGCCTTGCTCAGCACTCTCATTCGAGCCCTCTCCCTTGCATTCGCGGCGTTCCTCTGCGGATGATGTTTTGCATCGTCGAAATCCTCGTCGGAGTCCAAATTGCTGGAACTGCATCTACGTTTTCTCGGCATCTTAATATATCTGTAAATACAAGTTCAATATATCATTACATAATTAATCTTTAATAACGTTAAGCTAATCACATAAATCTAATGATAACAAACGAATATTCATATTATACACGTTTCTAAAGACATTTTGATCAATGGTTATGTAGGAGGAATACTTCCTAACACAATTTTTAAAGTCTTTTTAAGAAAGGTAAGTTAAATGACGTTATTTAAAGATTCAATTTGAAACTTCAATTATTGGTGAAGTAAAAAGTTCTGTGCGTCCCATACAATGAGCTTCTTCGTGAGAGCAGCTTTATGCAAATGGTTCCAAACGGTTTTCTGGCTAATCTTCAGTTTCTGTGCAATGGAATGATTTTATCAACATTTTCGACGATTGACCTACCAGAAATGTCTCATCTTATTACCAGAACGGAAGCGTTGGAACTGTATTGGATCCATAAACAAAACAAATTTCTTTGGATGCCTGCTCCGCTTTTCCCCCTGGTTCTTATGGTACAGAAGAATGTATTGAATTTTCTATTTTTTTATCTCAATTTTGGAACGCTCTAATACACAACTGGATTCACTAAACACAAAACTGTCAAAGAACTTTTTTTTAAGCGTTATGTCGCCTTTAAGTCGACTCACTAAAGCCATGTAACGAAAAACGAGTCAGAACTTTTTACTTCACCTATTATCATTAAATCTGTATTAATATCTTTTAACGTACAAATATAAATTTATTTGTATTAAAATTTTCTTTCATACAAGGGTCTACTATATTATTATTTTGTCTCAAACTTTCACAAAAAATTTAACAATTCGTAGTCAATTCTTTCATTTTAATTTATAATAATTTTAAATAACAATAAGTAAGTTTGAACCTTTGAATTGCTTAAATATATTGAATTCAACAAATAGTTAAAAAAAATTAAACATACTATTACTTATTTTCTAATAATTTGTTGTGTATATTTTACATTATTTCTTTGTTTAAAACTATTGTTAACATATTTTCTACGAAACACTCCAATCATATTCTTTCGTTTTGTTTCGATTCTAAGTGATTACTTTTTTTTTCGATTTGCGACGGATGTTCCAGATCAACGTGTTTAGCGCTGCACTTCCGTTAATGATTTGTCAACGCATCCGACTGCGATCGTGCAGAAATAATAAGAAAGGAAGTATCGCAATCTGCACTTATTTGTCCTTAATTGTTCGTTTCTTTTAATTGTATATATTTATCTATAGTTTTCTTTTTGTAAACGTAATTAAAACGTTAGTTATATGACGATTGTATTGTATTCTATTGGATGTTGTAAGATAAGAGCAACTGCTTCCATGATTTAAAATGTAAGAAAACAAAATTAATGTTTTTTTTAGTTCCATAAACAAAACTATTATAATAGTATATTTTCGATCAATGCGAATTTAATATCACGGTTTGAAAATTTCAAAACAAACTAAATATATTTTATTAATTTTGTATACATCAACGATCGATTGTTTACCTATATAGTCTATTTGTATGTGATATTAAAATCCTCGATTAGTCCGGACTATGCGAGGTATTTCTATATTGTATTTAGTATTCCTGTCATTTATTATGTAATTATTACATCAATAACCATAATCACATTAATTTAGTGAGTAAATATAAAAAAGAAAAGGATAATTTTATTTTCTATTGTTTTTAAGATGTTTGTATGTTGTAAATAAGATTAATTTATTAATTATTTCTTACATAAAATAAAATTTTGTGAGAAAATCTGAAAAGAAATTAATTCAGAAATATTGGAGATACATTTTTATTTTGAGTCAGTTAACATAATTTAAGTATTAAAAATGTTGTAACCTAGGTTACAATATATTACATATAAAATAATTAATAATTTCGTATACTGTCAAAGTCAATTATTTATGCAACCGAAATTACATTATATTATTATTAAATAATTAAACAAATAATTGAAGTCGAATAAAGTATATGTACCAACGATTAGTGTAACATGAAATAACCATAAAAAATAGTGACGTAAACAGTGTTTTGAAAGTTATTAGTTAAACACTGCAAAGCAAATGTAAATTCATATTTCATTGAGTTTTATTTAATAGTTAACGAACGTTGGAATTTTGTTTGAAGTACAATTTTAAAATAGATCTATTTCTATGAAATTCTTGTTTTTTTTTCATAATATTCTTTTGACTTTATTAAATCTATTTAATAACTACCAATATTAGTAATTCAAATTACTAAATTCACTTTAGTGTCTCATTTTTTTTTTAATATTTATAAAATACACTTATTTGTCTCACAATAATTTTATACTCGTATGTTCTTAATTAATAATATTACTTTTACAAAATAAATTTAGCCATAAAAAAACTAACATTTAGGAAATTAAAAAACTGTATACCTTTGTCTTACATTATTTTGTCTTTGTTTTTCAAATTATTGTTTAATCTCCATGACTACCACGGTTTGCTTTACAAGCGCTTCTATAAAGTTACTTGAAATATATTTATTTTTAAGATAATTTAGATTACTTTTAGAAAACAAATGTAGAAATGAAAAACTTACATTTAGAAATTTCAAAAAAATGTCTAAATTTGTCTCACATTATTTTGTCTTTGCTCATGAAAACCTTTATGAATTAAATATATAAATTTGTTTGACATTATTTAGTCCTCGTTTATATTTTAGTTAATTAAAAAATAAATATAGTCATGAAAAACTTACCTTCAGGATTTATAGAAAAAATGTATAAATTTGTAAACTTCCACGATAAACTGAATTAAATTGTTAATTTTGAAATATCTGATTGTACTTTAGTGTGCAAATATAAAGTGTGCACTTAAAAATGTAAGTCTCATTGAGGCAAAAGGACACTAAGAGTACTTGGAATTCAGAGGAGTTTGTGAGAGCAGAACGACGGATGTTATTCCTTTTGCCGTTTTGTTCCTCGCACAAAGATATCGAATTACGCGGACAATATTCCAATTAGTCTTAAGACGAAAAAACTGCTGCTTCTAAATAAATACTGTACAGTGGAAAAAAGTGTTTACCTTGAATTATCAACTAACAGTCACAGCAATTAAAGAATCACAGAAACTGAAGGAATGCCGATGCATGCCTAATGATAAAATTAGTGTGCTGGGCGTTGTTTGGGCGGAGCCACGCCCACGGGAGATCCATATACAAGAGCAACGACCAATCACGTTCGGCCTCCTTAACTCTACTTATTAGTTACCAGCTTGTGCTATAATTAAGTTGATTGATTTCGATCGTCGTGTCTTTCCACAAAGCGTTTATAGACTATTGACAACAAATTCACATTTGGTCTACAAAACTACATCATATATCTTTTTCATTTTATATTTAATTGAAAACATAATACTTTTACAATAAATAATTAATATAGAAAAAAAAACGTTTATTACAACAGAAATGTCTGCCTATATAATAAATATTAATTAAATTTGTATGAAGTGACACTTTTTATAATCTAATGTTTTCTTATCTATATATTTTGAAATTACGTAATTTAATTTGTCTTACACTAAATAATAAAACTATTATAAACATCCTTTAACTTAAATAACTGAAACTTATGACATTTTTTAATGGGGGCTTAATTAAAATGAATACTAAATATTTGATTAATTCAGTATAAAATCACTCTAATTTTGCTAAAAATGGTGAATTTATTTATTCGTAAAGCATTTGTTTTATTTTCTGAAAATATTGAACTAATTTGAATGATATTATATGTAAATTTTGGCAATTTAAATTCTTAATCTGATATTAGTAGAAAGAAAATATGTTAATTTCACTGATGATTAAGAAGTTTCATTTATTATAATTATTACAGATTAAGTAATTATATTTTATTCTTTAGAATTATTATGAGATAAAATTTTAAAATGAGCGCTTTCTCTCTCTCTCTCTCTCTCTCTCTCTATAATCAAGTCTCTTTCTTTACAGTTT